GGGGGGGTGTCCTGTGGGATTTGGGGTCTGGGAGAGCAGTGTGGGGTTGGGGGTTTTGTGAGGGGAGAGTGGGGAATAGGGTGTCTGTGGGGGCTGCGAGGGGGGAGATCAGGAAAGGTCTGGTTGTGGCTGGGGGCTGTTTGGGTGTCTGTGGGTCTGAAGGGGAGGCAGAGCCAGGGGATGTGGGCCAGGGTCACACAGGAGCAGGTTGTGGAGTCTGTGGGGAAGAGCTGGGAGCTGCAACAGGAGCAGGGGGCTGCGGTGAGGTGTGGGGATGCACACAGGGTTGCAGTGCAGAGGCTCGGTGTTGGGGTCTGAGATCTCAGCAAGGCTCAGGGGCTGCCTTGCTTTGGCTGGAAGTGGCACAGGGGGCTGGTGGAGAGGCTGAGAGGATTGTAGGTTATTGCCAACACCTGCCAGCAGCTATGGCTGCATTGTTAAGCATTAATGTCTGGTTGTTTTAGCGTTCATGATTTAACCTTGCAGCCACAGTCAGGATTTGGGCTTTGTGTGTCTGTGGAGGGGCTGCTCTTCGTGGGCTCTGTTCGCCCAGTTTCTTCCAGCTGGTCTCTGTCACTCCCCTCAACGTGGGGCCTATGTTACTCATAGGAGGCAAAGCTCTGCAGCTCCTCGGGGGTTCAAAGTGCGGGCTGTAAGGTTAGATGGAGAGGTTGGGTGTGAGGTGTGATGGTGGGACACCTGAGTGTGAGACCTGTGCAGGGTCTGAGGCACACATCCTCAAGGCAGTGGATGAAAGGACTGTGGGACGGGTCAGTCTGGAGAAGAGTAGGCTTGGGGGATTCCTCATCACTGCATCTCCGTGGCAGGAGGTTGTGGTGAGGTGGGGATCAGGCTCTGCTCCCAGGTAGCAGCGATGAGAGGCGATGGGCTCAAGTTGCACTGGGGGAGGGTCGGGTTGGGTATCAGGAAGAATTTCTTCTTCAAAGGGTTGTGATGCAGTGGCACAGCTGCCCGTGGAGGTGGTGGAGTCACCATCCCTGGGGGTGATCAGGAGCTGTGGAGATGTGGCACTGAGGGATGACCTGGTGTAGGGAACTGCTTTGGCAGGGGGGTTGGACTCGATGATCTCTGGAGGTCCCTTCCAACCCCTACAATCCTGTGATTTACTGGAATCACTGGACCCAGCTGGCCACAAACTACTCTCACTTAACAGAACCTAAGGTCTGTCAGATCAGACCTGAGATCGGTTCCGTCCTCCTTACAGAGAGGCCGATGTCCCCATCGATGTGGAGTCGGTGACGCCGACGCCGGTGCCGCTCTACGACAACCAGAAGGCGCGCAGCGTGATGAACGAGTGCGAGCGGCACGTCATGTTTGCTCGCACGGATGCAGACGCTCCTCCACCCCCAGATGACTGGGAGGACCACGTGAACAGGTAGAGCAGAGCGAAGAGAGGTGGGCTGTGAGGGAAACTGTGGCACCAAACAGCTGTGTGTTGTGTAGAGGGGGGGTTTTTCAGTGCTTTGCTATGTGTGGCTGATGTGCCTGAGCTGGGGAGCGTTCAGAGAGAGTAATTTCCTCATATGGAGATCCCTCCTGTTTGGAGGAGCTTGGGGCACTTGTTAGATGGCACACAGATCCCCAGCTCAGCTGTAATGCAATGCTGTACAGTTAAAAGGAAGAGGATGTGAGTCAGTTCACCATTGCAAACCCTGCCTGTAAGCGTGGTCAGTCAGTTTGAACTCTTGACGTGAGGAGGAACGGTGGTTTGGAGGAGAAGGAAAATAACCTATGCCAAAAAGAGTGATTGTTTTAGTTTTATTTATGGTTTCTGTTGCCTCTGCTTACAGAGGGGGGCTGCTTACCTGCCTTGGAAGTGTGCAGCAGCTGCAAGAACTGAGATGTGTTTCCCTTTGGTTTTCTCCCCAGGACGGGCTGGACAATGGCCCAGAACAAACTATTTAACAAGATTCACAAAGCGCTGCAGTCTGACAGGCTGGCTCGCTTGGCCAACGAAGGGGTAGGAGCTCTCGTTCCCTGCTGCTCTTTCAGCTTCCAGCAGAGTTGTTGTGTGTGTTTTTATTCAGTCCTCCCTTGCAAAGCGATGGAAGTCCTTTGGGTTCCATGGCCTTA